CCTCATGTTTGTTGCTAATCACCCTGGGTCGTATCACTCTTTTTAATAACTCGTCAGCAATATTTCCGTTCCACATTGCTGGGCAGTTCCAGATGTGAACAGATGCAGCTAAGTAGTTAAGGGTTTGAAAGTTCCACCTTTTCGTAGCTCCCTTTTCCTCCTCTTCTCTTGCCAGCCACCTTTAATTTGTTACCCTGGCTTATCATCATCGGCTATTGAGAAGGCCTTGAGAATGATGCAGGGAATAGTATCTAGGATTTTAAGATCACCTACAGAAAACAGATGAGACATGAAGGAGGTGGAAGGGGATAAGGTGCGTTAGGAAAAGACTTAGACGGCGAATTTGCTTTGTCAAGTGCAAATTTCAAACTTATTACGCACCTTATCGCTCCTTCTTGTCACGTTGCTCCCCGAAAGTATCGTCTTCTTATGTTGAACTTAGTCGTTTTCACTTGGGATTGTTGTGTTAACATCTGTTGCCTTGGTTTACATTGTTACAACTTTTAATAGCTTCTCTTCTGTTTTTCTATTTCTTTTTTCTCCTTTTCTTTCTTCTTGGTAATTTTATGGGTTCCTCTCATTCATTTTACATTCATCAAATTCTTATTCGTCCTTCACCGCTTCTTAAGTCATAATTACGAAGATTGAAATGAGAGCCTCATTAGTGGAGGGAACCGGACCTCAAGGCGGTGTGTTTTACTTGGGACTAGTCGTACTGACAGTGCCAATCAAAAAAAAGAGATCGTTGGCGACGAGCATGTATGTATTTCAGTTGTAAGGAACAGTCTAATACTGACGCTTCAGCATTTCTTTCCCTCTGTCATCAGCTCCATGAATTTTAGTGACTCTTTAGCAAATTTCTGGCCTGTTTCTCATAATCCATTTTGCCTATCCTTTGTTGTCTGTTGCTCCCCCTTAACGAGTCTCGTACGTGAAAATTCTACCTTTTCTGAGTAGCGCGGTACCATTTACTGCAGCGGTCTAAAGTGTTCGCCGAAATGGTTTTTCGTGCACTGTTTTTTCTCACCTGACCAATTCCCTTCAGATACTGATATGTTTGGGCGGAAGTGGTGTAGTGGCAAGTGGCACGCTTACCACGCGAGCGGTCCGGGGATCAAATCCTGGGTCGTGAGTCGCCCGGGCCAACCAAGCCTTCCATCCCTCCGGGGTCGGTTAATTGGTACCAGACTTGTCTGGGAGGATAAAAACACTGACTTGTACATCGGCTGGCCCCCGCAAGTCATTGTATAGGCCACATCGCATTCAAACGCCACTACGAATGTACAAATGGAAGTAGAATGCGTGCCGCATCCCAAAAAGGGATTGATCAACGGCAAATGCTTTATCCTTTTATCCTTTATTCCTTAAATTACCGGGTTATCATTAGTCATGCTGAAGCAATGCAACATTTACGAACGGTTGCCCTCTCTAACGCCCTGGTATTTGTGACTGGGTCCGGTGCCTGACGCGGACAAAACAAATACACACACCGAAATATAACCGACACTAACCAAACGTGCGGTTTTATTAATGAAGATGATATGGGTCAGCACCATCTTTCATACTAGCCAGCGTTACCGGCAAAGAGTTGGCCTTCCGCCGCGCAAGCTTCAGCTGACCTGCTTTCGCAGAGCCGATATCATAAGTGCAGACCTATGACATCGGCATCCGGAGGAACTGTATTAGAGTGTGTCTCAATAAGTAGGTGTGTGCGCAGTTTTTTTAAACGAGAAATTACTCTGTGAACCGGCTAAGTTGTTACATGATCTTCGATGTACTACCATTCGGATGAGGGGAAATTATTGTTCTAACGAAGAACAGCTATAGATGCCCCTTTATTTTCGTCACATGTTGCAAATTGTTTCGAATTCAAGCAGGTTGCAAGTGGGACCCGGTCGCGGGACGACGAATTTCGCCAAAACCGACAGCTGACCTAAACTTTATACTTCCCTAGAAGAAATCAATCAATAATGTAACTATAACTTACTCATAACCCTCTACTAAACATTCCACATTTAGGTTCCCTAAAAAGCTTGTCTCGTTTAATTTTGAGATTTAGTTATTCCAGTGCAACTCGGTGGTTGCCTGCCGGCTTTTGTGGCACTCGATCCTTGGTTGAAGGTGAACAGCAGAAGGTGCCGGAAGTGTTCCTTTTCGTCGACTTGACATACCACCATTTTCTATGCTGAAACTCGACCAGGATTGAAATCAAAACCAAATTCTGCATGCGGGTAAGTAGAGCAGAAGAAACGCTTCCTACAGGTGTATAAAAGTAGCGTCAATACTGAGGAATTGGAATGGAAAATATCAGTCTGAAGGAAGCCCTATGGGTTGACAGGCAACCACCGAGTTGCACTGGAATAACTAAATCTCAAAATTAAACGAGACAAGCTTTTAGGGAACCTAAATGTGGAATGTTTAGTAGAGGTTATGAGTAAGTTATAGTTACATTATTGATTGATTTCTTCTAGGGAAGTATAAAGTTTAGGTCAGCTGTCGGTTTGGCGAAAATTCGTCGTCGGAACCTCCCACTTTGCATGCCTAAAACTCAAACAATTTGCAACAATCAAAAAAGGGTACATACCTTCTTGTAGAGCAGATAATTTCCTATCGAATGGTATATGAAACATTGTAAAACATTAGAGGTTCACAAGAAAAATTTCCGTTTGAAAAAATGCGCCACTACTTATGAGACAACCTAATATAATGTTTACATTAGTCGCGACCGTTCCCATCCATTGTGAAAACTTGATGGTGTAGGTATTACTAGCAGCAGTGGAAGCAGTAGTGAGAGCTCGAAGGGAGCGAGATGTGGCCTTTTGCAGCCAACTGCGCCTGTGGAATCTCATTGTTCTGTTTTGTGCTATGCCTCCGCCTG